TTCTTTCATATGTATGGAATAGAACCTCCATAATTTATATTAGAAATATGTGATATTTCTATTCTTAAAATATTAAGAAGTTCATAATGATCTATAATAGTTATAAATTTATTTTTACTTTTGTTGAGAATAGCATCTATAATTCAAAAAAATTATAAAGAATCCAAGTAAAAAAAACTTCAAAAAATAATCAATTAAAAATAAATTTAAAAATTTAAATTAAAAAAAAATAATTAGTAATCTTTAATATCAAATAAAATTTTTGACAAAGAGAGATAATCCACTCTCTTTGAAAAAAAATCAGTATTAAAAAACTAAATTATTTGTTTAAAGGTGAATAGTATGCAACCTTCAAAATACAACAATAGAATTGGAGTAATTCTATATATTTCTAAAACAAGATAAGAAAAATAAATTAAAATTCTTATCAAACTGTGGACATGAATTTCAAAGAATAAAATTTCAATACACTCTTGTGTTACTCGAAAAGACTAAAAAATAATTTAAAGATGATATATTCAACTAGAATGACTATAGTCAAAGATAAGAAGACTAAAATATCTTGAAACAAGACCAAGGACTAGAAAAGCACTAAGAAGAGTGAAGAAGGTTTCATTCTTGCCTCCATATATACTATTCAACTAAGAGCTATGTGATAATGTTTTGCAAGACCTCTAACATGTTATTGTATTATAATTATTTATAGTATGTAAAAATTAACTAAAATAGATAATATATTTATAAGTATTGATATATTTTAGAATGGTTAGTAGGTTATTTTAAAGAGAATTAATGTAAGAAAATTTATTTTGAGATTTACATATGTTGATTATAATGTTTAAATTATATTAGATTTAGATATTTAGTATAAAATTTAAGAAGAAGATTGGAGTTCAAATATGAAGATCTAAACCTCTAAAAAACTTATTTAAAAAAATGAAAGCAAGGTATGGATGGATGAAGGCTAAAGATAAAGATCTTCATTCCTATTTGTTGAAGAACATGCCGAATAGGTATTTAGGAGGCTATTTGCAACCATAACAAGGATTTCAGCAACTTCAAAAGGTGCATTTGACAATCAAAAGAAAGAATTGTAAGGTTTAAGATTTGAAATACAATTTTTATGCAAATTTTAGAGAATTTGGAGTTAGGGTGATGAAATTATTGCTATTTAAAGTTAAGGTGTCTTTTTAAGATATACTATTGTTTTTTTTGAAGATACAAGGAGTTTTATGATAGATTTTGGAGATCAAGAGGTATAACCACAAAGATGATTTCAAGATCTACACTTTTTAAGAAAGGATTTTTGCCTTTGAATTTTTTTGAAAAACTTATAGAATAATGAAGACAACACATGTAATTTAAAGGTAGTAAGTAAGTCATTATATTGATAGTAATGATTAGAGCCATATCTTAAATTTTTGGATGAATTTTTAACTCAAAAGTTTTAAAAGTGTGTATTATTAGATTTGAAACCTATGTATCAAAGTTTTATAATATTTGAATATTTAATTTGTGAGATATGAAGAAAATTACATATAGATATATGCAAGCAAGGATTTGAAGCTATTGTTAGGATTTTGGCAATATGTCAAGATTTGTAATAAATTGCAATTGAAATTTATTGTGGTAGTTGTTAAAAATATATCAATACTTCATATAAAATGTGAATTTGTATGGACAGTCTAATCATGAGATATGAACTATTGAAGTTTGGAAAAAATTCACCTTAAGGATATACAAGGTTTATAATATTTTTATCACATTTTCTGTGATCTTTGGTACTTAGGGCTTATGTATTGATGTAATTGTCCCTATAGGAACAATTATATATATAGACTTGATTTTTTTTTATTTAGATCTTAGTTGAAAAATTAGTGATATCCAAAAGTCTAATGCTTTTTTAAGGCAAATTCTCTCTACTACAATAATGTATTGACTTAGTAAGATATATTATTGTATGACATGATTTTCTATTTGGAAATATGTTAGATATCTAGCTATAGAATATTTAGCTTTAACTTATTGAAAAAGTTTCAATAAGTGATATATTCTTATTATAGAGACCAAATAAATATAAAAATATCAAAAGATATTTTATTGATAAAATTATTTTACATTTAAGAAGATTTATACATAAGTCTTTTTAAAGCATCTAAAAATGCCTTAATATCCTTTGATATACCAAATCATAACTAACTAATTGCTAGTGAGTTTGATTTTTTATAAGCTTAAAGAAAATCCATAATCTTCTTACAAAAATTTATCTTTACATCATGAATTTTTTTATAGCTCTATATTTCCATCTTTTACAAATATATAAAGACTTAGCTTCCAAAAATCCCTTTACTTTGCATAAAATGCCCAAATTGTTGCAAAATCCTTTCAAAACATTTTCCTCCTATAAAGAATTGTTTCTCCCTAAAATTTAGAAATTCATATCTCTTGATTCAACTATTCACTTTTTTTAAAATTTCTAGATGATGTAAAATTTATCTTTGAACTTTACTACAAAAAAATGAACCATAAATCTATTACAAATTGTTAAGCATCTTAAAAATCCTAGCAGATGCTTTAAATCCTAATTTACAAGCACTTGAGTACTATTTTCTCTATATCTCAAAAGCTCAAATTTCAAATGCTACAAAATTTATATATAAATTATAATAACATAATAATATATATTCTTAAAAATTATAGCTAAAATCTTGTCAAATTGATCAAGATATATCTTAAAATACAACCTTTAGTAAATCAAGCTACTTACTGCCCTTAGATTACAAGTGTTGACTTCAACTTCCTATATCTCTTTTATTTCAACTTAGAATTCATCAAGCAATACATAAAAAATATAGCTAAAAAAGTTCTCTCTCCAATCTCGATTGCCAATCCTTCAATTCTTTTTTTTACATATATGTTATGTCTAAAAGCATGATAGTAGGTATAAAACCCTTACCTTAACTTGTGAGTGCCTATATTTCTTTTATAAAAATACCAAATCATCCAAAATTTTCACAAAAACTATAGCCAAAACTTTTTTTAATGTCAACCTTTCAAGTTCAAATGATCTCATAAGAATAACCTTAATCCCTAATAAGGCCTCAGATAACCTCCTTGAAGCACATTGAGCATGCCTTTTTGCCAATAGAAATGGAGATTTTTATCATCCATCTCTATTTATCTACATGGATGCTCTAACTTCTCTTTTTGCTACTAAAATTCTTTTCCAATCTTTTTTTTTTATAAGATTTATATAATATATGTCCTAAAAATTAAATAAAAGAAACAAAATAAGATTTCAAAAATCACCTATATTTAATAAAGGTGGCTCTAAATATAAAAAACTATCATCAATATAAAATCAACTTCAATAATAGCTTTTTTAAACTAACCACTTCAAAGTAGTAATCTAATCATATTTTGTGACTAACTAAAATCTAATAATGTGGTTCTTATCACATTGTATAGTAAATTATATATTAAATATTTATATGCATTATTTTTATATAGTAGCCAAACCACAACATAGCAATGTATCTTAACTTATACAACAAGTTTTCTATATGTACACGACAAAGTTAACTTGTTCTACAAACTATTAATATATATAACATATAATTAAGTTGTTGATCAAGTTTCTAACCTATCAATCAACTACAAAGATATATAAAGTCAAAATTATATCTATGAAGCTTCTAAGATGTTTTTCTAAAAGATAATATGAAATTAATTTACTTTTATTTACTTCCATCTAATCATATAAATAATTATTGGAATATATATATATATATATATATATATATATATATATATATATATATATGACAATTACCTTTTCATAATTGGTATTATATATTTCTTAAAATATGTACAAAAATTAAAATACAACTTTAATATAGAATTTTTTCTTATTATTCATAGCAAATCTATTTTCTATCCACCTAAGCACTTTCTTGTGGTTCCCTAATTGTATGACTTATTGAAGACTTTTTTTGTAAGTTACAACTTCTATAACCTCTGTATCATCTTTTGCAATTAACACTGCTTATTCATCCATCTCATCATTTATATATTTTTCTTACATTTCATTAATCTTATTCTTTTCATCACTAACATGATGATAAGTATATTCAAATACTGTCATCATGGGCATTTCTAAAGATCATGTCTATTTTTTTCTATCTTACTAACAAATTGTATTATTTGATGAATTTTAGATTAGCATTGTCTCATTAGTTTCTTCATTCTCTAAAGGTCTTTTTATCATCTATTTTTTTTTTATTTTGATGCTATATATTTAAAATATTTTTAAAGTATTTTTTTAAAAAATAAATTATGTATAAATATTTATCATGTTTTACAAAAAAATGATCTTAATTTAAAAGGCTCTTTATATCTAAAAATCCACTATGAAAAAAATAATATGAAAGGATTTTAAAGGTCCTCTACATAATAAAAACAAGTACTCTTCTACTACTCTTGGTCTTTAAAAACAGTTTTAAATAAAAAAGAGATATAAAGTAGATTTTTATTTTATTTTTATTATTTTTTTTAAAGTAAACAATTCAACTTATATCACAATTCTAAAAATTATAAAGACATTAAATTTTATTATTTTGCATATAATAGTTATTTTTAGTTTTTAAAAACACAATCTCTTAAATTTTTGTCAAAATCCCTCTTTGAGATAAATTGATTACGAACATCAAAGAATAACATTATTTATACCATGTAAAAACAAATTTCATTCCACCTATTTATTTCCACTCAAAACTTTTGAGCTGATTTTCTTACATATAAAACCAATTAAAGAACACTTTTTGATTTTAGCCAACCAAAACATTAAAGTGTTGTGACCTCTTCTTTTCCTCCAATTTTTAAGAGTTCTTAGATGTAATCTTTTTTTGCATGTTTCTTTAACTTGTGTTTGTATACTTGGAAGTATCAAAAGTAAAAGTTTACAGGCAGCTACATCATTCATGAAAAACGTTACAAGGTTGTTGAGTGCTCCGCAAAAAGTAGTTAAATTTTGCATTTAAGACAACAGATTTTCTATTGTAAATTCACTTTTTATCCTTTGAAGAAGCGCACTAACATACTGTCTATGTTCCAAACTGGCTCCTAAAGAGAAGACTTTGGCAACTTGGGTATGGATTCTCTAATTTTGTCAGTTGGGTACTGTAGATCAACCATTCCTCCTGCAAGGAATGTATCATACGAAGCCAGGTCGAAATGACCGTGACCGCAGAGTGCTGTGACTATGACCTTAGCCTCCCCGCTTTCCTTGCATGCTAATGCTTCTCGAATGGTAGCCGCAATGGCATGCGTGGGCTCAGGTGCAGGAATAATCCCCTCAGTGCGAGCAAATTTTAATGCAGCTGAGCAAGCAACACCCCAAGTTCTTCAAGTCAGCGGAAAGAAGAAACTTATATCTTACACAGCATGTGAAAAAATTGCAGGTGATGCTCTGGGTTGTATCAGACAATTCGATTCTAGAGTGAAGTTGTGGAATATTCATCTTACGTCATAACTATTGTTTCATGATTACATTTTTGGATCAAATTACCTGGCATAATTTCATTAAGGCCTATCCAACATCAATTCGTTAACAAACAAAAGAAGAGCTAAGGGAAACACAACGACTGTAAATAAGGATGATGGTAGAAAAAAGTTTGATGGACTACGACTTGTAACTGGACCTGTTATCCAACACGTAACCGCCACTTCAAAAACAATTTCTCGGCATTGACATCATGACTTGGATGCAACCTGCTCAAGAAAAAGCAGGGCTTGTAGGAAGGTTGCGAGTTTGAACAGCAGGTATATATGCAGCGATAAAGTAGTCACTTACCTTCAAAACACTCAACTTGAGGGATTGCAATAGCCTCCATAAGACCAAGTTCATAAACATGTGATACTAGTGGTGCCATCCCATGATATCGAAGACCACCTGCAACCAGGATGACATGGAACATAATCTCAAACTAAAATTTACACTTCTGCACTAGATGTTCCTTTCAAAGAATAACCCAGAAAGAAAAACCCAGAACCATCTCTTGAAGCTTCTACTTTCAAAGAAAGCCCTGGATTCCCATGAGAAGGTATGTACACCATGCATACAAAGAAACCAAGAAAGGAACCTTAACACAGTAAGGTGATTTAGCCATCAACTCAGTGCTCATCCGCTCCAAGCCGATTTCCATGTCAACTAACATACGATTTGCAGCAAGTCGCAGCATGCACTCAACAGAAACACAAATGTCAACAAGAGTTTGAAGAGTGGGCAAAGAGAATTTTAGAACCTGCGTGGATGGGGTCAGGAATAAAGTCATGGCCAAGAGTGTGCATCTTCATCAACGGAGTGAGCCCAGATGTGTCCCCAAAATCGTAGGCGTAGACACCTCTCGTGAGCGAGGGACATGCTGCAGGCTCCACGGCTCTGATGATAGGATTCATTTTTCCAGCCAACTTCTCACGGATAAATGGGAAGGAAAGCCCTGCGAAGTTTGATCCTCCACCAGTGCAACCCACCAACAAGTCTGGTGTCTCACCTAGAATATCTAGCTGCCGTAGACACTCCTCGCCTATGATGGTTTGGTGCAACAAGACATGATTGAGGACGCTGCCAAGAGCATATCGGGTGTCATCCCGAGCCAGAGCTGCCTCTACTGCCTCAGAAATGGCAATGCCCAGGCTGCCAGGGGTTGTAGGATCTTTATCCAATATTGCTTGCCCTACTTTAGTGAGAGGGGATGGTGAAGGATGAACAGTAGCTCCCCAAGTTTCCATCATGGACTTGCGGTATGGCTTTTGATCGTATGATGCTCGCACTTGCCACACCTACACATGCCATATGGCAGGAACATGAATGACAGGGTAGTTAAGTTTTGAAAGTCTCTCCTGCTAACGACGTGGAGATATACCAGGTCAAGAGAAGAAGTTACAGGAGAATATAATAAAAAGTAGAAGTAAATAAAGTATAATAAAATAAAGTTTACCTCGCATTCGAGATCAAACAGCGTGCAAGCAAATGCAAGAGCACAACCCCATTGCCCCGCTCCCGTTTCAGTTGTGAGTCGCTTTACGCCTTCTTGAGCATTGTACCATGCCTGAGGGATTGCTGTGTTAGGCTTGTGAGAGCCTGCTGGACTGACACCTTCGTACTTGTAGTAGATCCGTGCTGGTGTATCCAATAATTTTTCAAGTCTCCAAGCCCTGTCCTCATCACAATATCCATTATACGGTTGATGAGTAATTCCACATATTAATGCTTGCCATATTTTCTGGCAGAGCATCGTCCAAAATCACTGTCAAATCTAGCAACTCTTAGGTGGCACAAATTAGAAATGAGGTTGTCTCACCACTTGAAGGGATGATTTGTCTGGATGAACTCTAGAGTTAGACACATTTCCAAATCTGTGGTACATGGTTTGCGGAGGTTGCTAAGTAATTGGATAGCCAGGATAATCAAATAAGCTGCCCTAGAGTCGGATTTCGCTCAGTAGAGAACTGTTTCTGGTGAAACTAAGAAAAATGCACACATTAATGAAGTGACAAACCTACGAGGTAGGTTCGCTGTGACATGATCCGAAGTGCAATATTCTTCAACCACGTAACTATGTATTCATCATTATCGCACCTGTACAGAGGGCTCGGGCGCCAGAGCTTGTACACTTGAAGAACCTCATCGGGTATGTCAACAAATCGATCCATTGTTGCTTCTTGCTGAACGAGGGCCATTGGAAAGAGAGGTGCCAGATCATAGGGCTGAAGGGGTTGGAGCGTGCCAGGATGCAATGGTGGTGGAGGTGGGATCGGCAAATCTGGAATGATGTTATACCACTGCCTGGGCATCTGATCTTCAGGCAACACTGTCTTGGTGTTCGTTTGAGTCTTCGTTGCTATCTTTGTTGGATGGGGTATTGAACATTGAACGCGAGGAACATTTTTCCGCCATGACTTACTTGATGAATGCAGCACTGTTCCAAGTCCTGCACAGATTCTCACCAGCGTGAAATTCAAATTAGGGCACTGAAGAACACGCTAGTATTCTGCAGTTTTTCCGCGGATGTGCATTGACAACTTTCAGGGAGCTTGTGCGAAAATCTTTTTAGCGGGAACACAAACCGACACTTACTCAAATGAGCGCTTAATACAGTTATACTTCATAATCACAAAGACACTAGCACATACATGGAATCTTCATCCAAAAACACACATTCAAAAACTCCAAAGTCCGTATTACAATTATGCTTGCCCATAAAACCTTCGGAAAGGTATAGTTCCAAGAACCACCAAGGGAATAAAGAAGTTCTACTCAATTACTGTTTACACTTTCTTTACTATTGAGAGAGTGGTTGGGTGGTAAACTCGTCAAGGTGGAAAGGAAAAAGCGGGGGAAACGACAGTTCTGGAGCAAAAAGTTGGGACACAGTGATCTCTCAGATTGTAGCAAGCAATTCCATGTAGGAAAGTGCGCCAATCCTGTCACTGCAATGATACTCTTGAAAACTTTATCTCATAGAGAAAGAAACCTGAATCTCCTGTCAAATCCGGTCCATTGCTCAAAGATTCCGTACTACGTATATTGACATTGCTGTGCATCAACAGATCGATTGATGCGGATTTCCGACATGGCAGTCACCCTTCAAGCTGAAATCGACATATCTTCGATTGGTTTGACAAAACAATACTAACGACCACTCAAACATCCCTTAACTTAAAGGCCTACCCCAGCTGCAACACCCAAAACTTCAATCTCTAGGAGGGGAAGCGAGCAAAGCGTATACACTCAGTCCGACCAACCGAAAGTTGTAGAGGTAAGCAAAGTCATGGACTCAAACTAGCGAAGACATGCACCTACCACTCTTAGAATCGTGATAGGTCAGCTGGAAACTTCTGTTGTGGGTAGTCCCCGTCACAAACCGCATCCCGCAGCTCCTCTGAAGCATCATCTTCCTGGTCTGCGAAACTTGTCAAGAAGATGAACTCCGCATACATCAAGACCAGCGTGAGGGAGAGTCTGTGGGCGATCCAGATCTCTAGCGGAACAACTAATGCAACCCTGTCTAAGCTGTTGGGTCCGTAAAAACCCGAACAATGAAGCAAGTCGGCAAGTCGGTTTTAGAATTGGCCTAGACACAGAAGTCCTATCCAATTTCGTTGATTTGGGCTCATTTCGTCAACGTAGTCCGTTACGTAACGATTTCCTTAGAAGACCTTCAAACAAGGCAATGAGTCCAGCCAAAGTATCACGAGCTATAACCAGTGAAGAAATAGTGGGCGGAAGCTCATGGTGTGCACGGTGGGGTACCACCAACGACGGTTCAAGAGAACGATACTTCCTTTACCCCGCGATAGGGGTACCCCAAGTGCTATAGAGTACACAGTCAACCGCCAAGACCGACGTCACTATTGCGGGGGGAGGGGGGGGGGAGCTCAGCATGTACTAAAACTGGATGTGTGTGGATGAATATCAAAATTATCAAATTTGTATACATATAGGAAAATGTTAAAATGATCCACCCGTTTACTAAATTTATCCACCTTATTGTAACCATCATTATAAAAATGGATCATCTCCAAAAACCATTGTTAGAAGCTTGGCCCTCATTTCCACCTCCTTTGTTTTCAACCCTCGCTCCTTCCATTTCCAATCTTCTTTATCCCAACCTTGTCATTTCAGGTCTTCTTCATTTCCACCTTATTTTTCCTAGCCTTCTTCATTCCCACCTTATCATTCTCAGTCTTCTTCATTCCAATCTTGTTATTCCTAGCCTTCTTTATTTCAACCTTGTCATTTTCAACCTTCTTCATTCCAACCTTCTTCATTTCAACCTTATTTTTTCCAGCCTTCTCTATTCCCACCTTATCATTCTCAGTCTTCTTCATTCCAATCTTATTATTTCTAGCCTTCTTTATTTCAACCTTATCATTTCCAACCTTCTTTATTCCAACCTTGTCATTCTCAACCTTCTTTAATCGAATCTTGTCATTTCCAACCTTCTTCATTTCAACCTTGTCATTCTTAACCTTCTTTATTTCAATCTTGTCATTTTCAACCTTCTCTAATCCAATCTTATCATTCCCAACCTTCTTCAATTCAACCTTGTCATTCTCAACCTTCTTCATTTCAACCTTGTGATTTCCAACCTTCTTCATTCCAACCTTGTGATTTCCAACCTTCTTTATTTAAACCTTTTCATTCTCAATCTTCTTCATTCGAAGATTGTTATTTCTAATCTTCTTTATTCAAATCTTTTTCATTCCAAAATTATTATTTTCAACCTTTTTCATTTTAAGATTGTTATTTCTAACCTTCTTCATCCTAATCTTGTCATTTTTAGCCTTCTTCATTCCAATCTTGTCATTCTTAGCCTTCTTCATTTCCAACTTTCTTCACTCCAACATTCTTCATTCCTAGCCTTCTTCACTCCAACCTTCTTCATTTTTCATCTTCTTCATTCTAACTTTGTCTTTCCTAGTTGAAATAGAACTAATCTATCTCAAGTGTCTAAGATCCTTCTAATCCATAGCAACATAAAATCTCATCATAAGGTAGGACAAATTAAATTAGAAGAAAACTAAATAAAACTAAACAAAATAGAACATGGAAGATAAAATTGAGCAACTGGAATTAGAACAGAATATAATAAAATAGAATGATACAAAATCCAATTGTATTAAGAAAAAAAGTCCAAAGTCATATATGTCCAGATGTCTCTAAAAGACCTTAATCAGTCCTATTTATACTTTGTTCTACCACCTTAGAATTTCTAGAATGTTCTTAGAAGATAGACCCCACCTAAATAATTACCCTAAATTCTTTGTAGAATGTTCTATGGTAGGTCCTACTTGATCCACTAACCTAATCCCAAATTCTAAAAACTTCCATAACTTCTTAAACATGCCTCTAACTATCAATCCCAATGTATCAATAATACAAATATCTTATCTATACCCTGTTACAATTAATTCCCTTCTATAAATGCGGAATGTCCTCATTTTGCTCTGCATGGTATTTTCAAACTTTGTGCTGAAATTGTGGATGTCTATTGCATCAGTGTCGTATTATATGAAGACTTGCTTGAGAGTGCATTGAGCACCTAGCTATGGAAGGTAGAATAAAAAATACAAAAATAAAATCTTAATTCTAATAGAATATTAAACAAACTCTAATTAAACCTTAATAATGCTAAACAAGCTTTAATCGAATTTTAAAAAATTTTTAAAATAATTACAAAAGAAATAATAAGAAATCTTAAAGGAATTGAAAGAAAATCTAAAATAAAACTTAAAAGAATCCTTAGGAATCCCTAAAAAATATTAGACTAATAAAAAATATATCTTAAAAATCTCAATTAAGTTCTAATTTAATCCTTATTGAAATTCTAATAGACTTCAATCATACACTAGAAAAATCCTAAATCCTAAATCAAATCCTAAATCAAATCTTAAATAAATCTTAAATCCTAAATCCTAAATCAAATCCTAGATCAAACCCTAGATCCTAAATCAAATCCTAAATCAAAACTAAGATAAATCTTAAATCCTAAATCAAACCCTAAATCAAATCCGAAACAAATTCTAAATCCTAAATCAAACTCTAAATAAACCTTGAATCCTAAAACAAATCTTAAATCAAACCCTACACAAATCCTAAATCTTAAATTAAATCTTAGATAAATCCTAAATCATAAATCAAATCTTAAATCAAATTCTAATTCTGCTCAATTCAACCCTAGCATAGTTTAGAACCTCAATATCTATCAATTGAATTGTTGATTTAGCTTAAAAATTTACATACCTTTTAACAATTGAATTAACAACAAGCAAATTTTTTTTGAAGATAATCACACTTATCAAATAGAAGAAAAAATTCTAAATCTGCTCAGGTATTGGCTAACTACCTACTTCAATCTAAATATTAAACTTTCAGTACCAATATCTTCATATTAAACCATTTAATTGTTCTCAAATTTTACATGTGTGTAAAAAATCAAGTCTATTATTTTTAAATACAAATTTCATTCCAATCCAATTAGTAGATTGCTAAGGATCTTAAAAGCCCTAATTGCCTTTCAAAGTCTGATTTTAAGACTTCAATCTACTTGAAATTCAATAGCCTTCAATTCAAATGTTTAACCAAGTTCAAACTTATAGCATATTCTTCAAATAACTATTCTTATAAGTCACCAAAATTTGAACATTAGATCTACTATTGAGCTTACAAAATTCTCCAATACATAATATCTTTTTTATTTTACAAATTTCAAAGTCATTTAAAACAACTATGATTTTAAAAAGCTCTAGCAAAGTCATTATACATTTAATTCTATCAAATTCAATGCTAAAAAAAAACCTTATCAAGTCTACTCTCAAATCCCACTCTCCAATTTGCAAAAAAATCCTTAAATTACTCTAGATACTTAGTTTTGTATTTTAGGGTCTGATTTTGATCTAGGTTAATAACTAGTCTTCTTTGGATATCAAATTTTGTCCTTTAGAGTGAATTTTTATTCCAATCAATTCTTAATTTCTTCCTTCATATATTCATATTCTTTATTTTTCTAATCTACCTTGTTTTGTCTTATTTATGGCCTTACTAAGTAAGTAGAAGCCTACTTTGTAAAAATATAGAATTAAATTTTTTAATTCTACTTTATTTTGGACTATTGTCTATTTGTTTAGATAATTTGCTAAAATATTTGAAGTAAGATCTTCTATGATATAATAGATTCTTCATTCTTTTCACCTATTAGTTATATTATATCACAACATCCACCTCTCTTGAACCTGTGCATCCTCTGGCATGTGTCATTGATTCTTTAATATATTGATATAGAGTGTTCTTTATCTTGGTCAGATTCTTGATCTTCAATTTGCTCTATTTTTTCCATCTCAATGTCTTGTAATGGATTTTATTCTTCATCAAAGCTAATATTTTTATTTCTTTACTTGAATAATTTGATTCTCTACCATGTTATGGATATCTTTAATTTTGTACCATCAAGTTCTCGTAACAAGTATGTTCCATTGTCATATAATTGTTTGACAATATAAGGCCCAAACCATCTCCTTATAATTTTTTTTACTAAGCAATGTTGGTTGTCTAGACTATTATCTTAAATCAACAGCCAATCATCATTTTAAATTAGTGATTGATGCAATCGATGCTTTTTGTCAAACCTTTCTTTATTTTTCTTCCTTACCTCTTTTAATTTCTTTATATCAACCTCAATATCCTCGAGTCTTCTTTCAAGTTGTCAAATTTGTAATGCTAATAATTCTATACTTTTTAAACCATTTTTTTAAGATAATACATTTCATGTTGGTACAACCTCTTCTATTGGTATTATCGGCTTTTGCCCATACATCAATTTTGCTTGTATGTATGACAGACATATATATTTACCTCAATAGTTACTTACATGATTAAGTAGAAGTAGGTAAAATAGAATAATTTCATAAAGTCTTCTAGAAAAGCTTCTTAGAAGCTTCATAGATGTGGTTTTGACTTTAGATGTGTTTATCGGTTGAAAACTTGGCCAAAAAGCTAACCATGTATTGGTAGCTTATGAAACAAGTTACCTCCGTGTAGTAGCTTGTGGAATAAGTTACCTCCGTATAGTAGCTTGTGGAACAAGCCAACTACGTGGCGCATACATAGATAACTTGTCTTGCAAGATAAGACATGTAGCTAGCAAAGTCAACACATGTTGGAGGTCCTATAGGACATCGCCACGTGGCTCTTAGTTACATAGTATATATCGAGGCAAGAGTGAAGCCTTCTCCACTCTTGTCAATGCCTTTCTAATCTTAGTCTTGTTTCTGTCACGGACACAAAATACAGACTTGAAATCTAACAAGAAGTTCAAGAAGAAGTGGCAGAACTAGATTAAACAGATGAGTACAAGAACAACACCAGAAAGCTGAGCTAGAACTCCAAGAGATGTGTTGTCGAGACTGAAGAACTCTTCAGCCTCGATCCTTATATATACTCCTACTTAGGAAGCTTCTCGAACTACTTCTATTAACTAGGAAGCTTCTAGAAGGTTCGAGAGGCTTCCTTTCTAGAAGGTTCTAGAAACTTCTCGAGCTACTTCTATTAACTAGGAAGCTTCTAGAAAGTTCCAGGGGATTCTTTTCTAGAAGCTTCTAGAAACTTCTCTTCTAGAAGGTTCCAGAGACTTCTTTTCTATAAGCTTCTAGAAACTTCTCTCTAAAAGGTTCCAAAGGCTTCTCTTCTAGAAGG